TGTTTCAATGTTGCTGTGTTCATGCGTGCACATCTGCTCACAGACTCATGTTCATGTTTGTGCTGATGTTCAATGTTTTATGTTATGAGTGCTTAGTGTATATTTAGTTGATGTTTTTCTTAGTTCATATCTTAGATGTTAATACGGTTTTTCTTATACATTTTATTGTTGGATGTAACTGGGACCCTGTGTACATAATTTCGCTCCACCACATGTACCACATGAGGTGCGAATGACAATAAAGAAACTCTGACTCTGACTTAATGTTTTTCTCCCATTTTTTTAAAGATATCTGTTACTGGTTGTGCAATGTCTCCAAGCCAGTAAATATTTGCATGTTCAATTTGGATGTACATTTGGAAATCTAGTCCTGAGCTGTCAACATAGATTCCTTGTGGTGAGCACCAGATTTTTGCTTTGAGTTTACACAGTGCATCGCTTCCTAATAAATTTACTGGGGTTTGATCTGACACTAAAATTGGTATCTTGACTTTTGTTTGATTAACAGTTAGATCCACTGGAGCTGTCATTTGATTCATTTGTCGTTGTCCTGAGAATCTTATGGTCTTGACAAATTTGTCAGACATTTGGAGGTGTGTGGCGTAGTTTGATTTTACGCATGTGAATGAAGCTCCAGTGTCTACTAACATTGGAATTATTTTACCTTGTATTTCAAATTGAAGTATTGGTTCTGCATCTGAATTTTGTGTTAAAATAGGTAATTCACACTCTCCAATAGGATTCTCTGGGCAGCCCTAGAAACCTTGTTGTGATGCAAATGGATTGACAGGGCCTCTTGGTTGTTCCCGACCAAATCTCATCCCCCGAACAAGCCCAGTCCAGCCAGGATTTGGAGTTGAATATTTGCAGTTTTTGATGTTGTGTCCAAGCTTTTCACAGCCCCAACACGGCCTGATGCCTGGCCGAGTTTGCTTTCCCCAACTTTGGTTAGTGTAGGGCTTCCTCAGTCCACCAGGCTGCCATCTGCCTGTTTGATTTGGATAGATATTTATGACGGGGGGTGGTGGGCCCTGAAAGATAGCCGTGTCGCATTTGGCTGCAAACCGCTCCAGCGAAAGCTGTAGATCACGATCTGATGAAGCCAGTAAGACCACATCATCTGCAAAAAGCAGAGAAGCAATCCTAAGGCCACCAAAACGGATCCCCTCAACACCTTGGCTGCACCTAGAAATTATGTCCATAAAAGTTATGAACAGAATCGGTGACAAAGGGTAACCTTGGCAGAGTCCATCTCTCACCGGGAACAAGCCCGACTTACTGCCGGCGATGCGGACCAGGCTCTGAAACCGGTCATACAGGGGCCTAACAGCCCGTATCAAAGGGCCTGGTACCCCATACTCCCAGAGTACCCCCCACAGGGTTCCCCGAGGGATGTGGTCCAACGCCTTCTCCAAGTCTACAAATCACATGTAGACCGGTTGGGCAAACTCCCACGCACCCTCCAGATCCTACTGAGAGTGTAGAACTGGTCCAGTGTTCCACGGCCAGGACAAAAACCGCACTGCTTCTCCTGAATCCAAGGTTCGACTATCCGACGGACCCTCCTCTCCAGAACCCCCGAATAGACCTTACCAGGGAGGGTTAAGAGCGTGATTCCCCTGTAGTTGGAACACACTCTACGGTCCCCCTTTTTGAATAGGGGGACCACCACCCCTGGTCTGCCAATCCAGGGGAACTTCCCCTGATGTCCACGCAATATTGCAGAGTCACGTAAGCCAACACAACCCTACAATATCCAGAGCCTTAAGGAACTCCGGGTGAATCTCATCCACCCCTGGGGCCCTCCCACCGAGGAGCTTTTTAACCACCTCAGGGACCTCAGCACCAGAGATTGGAGTGCCCAACCCAGAGTCCCCAGGCTCCGCTTCCTCAGTGGAAGACATGTCGGTGGGATTGAGGAGGTCTTCAAAGTATTCCGCCCACCGACCCACAACATCCCGAGTTCAGGTCAGCAGCACACCACTCCCACTATAAACAGTGTTGGTGGCGTACCGCTTTCCCCCCTGAGATGCCGGATGGTGGACCAGAATCGCCTCGAAGCCATGCGGAAGTCATTCTCCATGGCCTCTCTGAACTCCTCCCCTGCCCGAGTTTTTGCCTCAGCGACCACCCGAGCCGCATGTCTCTTGGACTGCCGGTACCCAACAGCTGCTTCTGGGGTCCCACAGGCCAAAAAGGCCCGATAGGACTCCTTCTTCAGCCTGACAGCATCCCTCACTGATGGTGTCCACCATCGGGTTCGAGGGTTGCCGCAACGACAGGCACCGACAACCTTGCGGCCGCAGCTCCAGTAAGCCGCCTCGACAATAGAGGCATGAAACATGGTCCACTCAGACTCAATGTCCCCCACCTCCCTCGGAACATGTTCAAAGTTCTCTCGGAGGTGGGAGTTAAAACTCTGTTTCACAGGAGACTCTGCTAGACGTTCCCAGCAAACCCTCACAATACGTTTGCATTTGCCAGGTCTGACCGACATCCTCTCCCACCATCGGAGACAACTCACCACCAGGTAGTGATCAGTGGACAGCTCCGCCCCCTTGTTTGTTTATTTTCCTCAAATATTGGTGTTTCAAACTCTTTAGGAGGGTTGGTCAGATTGATGGTAGGAGTTTTATGATTGTGAAAATCAAAATCTCCTTTGATGTTTACTGTTTCTACCAAAGGATAAAGTCCTGTTCCTTCTGAATCTGCATTGCTCACAGTTTCCTTGTTTATTTCAACGTCTTTGTTTTTTGTTTGCTGAGAGTTGTTTATTTTAATGATTGCATCTCTTAGTGAGGTTCGATAAGCACTTCCTTCATCTGTGAAAAATTTAAGAATGTCTAGTTCCATTTTTTTTTTTTTCACTACGTCTCTTGTTGTTTGGTTTATAATCAACGATCCTCACCTGCATGTCTTCACACAGGGAGAGATCAAATGTTCCATCTTTTGACCAGGGATTAGTCAGTTTTTTTGTGCGTTTTGTCCATTTGTCAGAGATCTTTTTGATTTCTTTCATTAGATCTGGATTTTTTATGCAAAGAATTGCTACTGGAGTGGTTGACATCTT